CTCAGTCATCCATATCTCATTCATTTTAATGTCTTGTTCTGGTCTTAGTCTTGTTCATATGACCACACTCGTTCCAAGAATTTACTCTCAGTTCATGTGATTAACATGAATACATCCTTACATGGAAAGTATGGATATATTGAGCATTTTGCTAAACATGCTGGTTGGGATTGAGAAATATGGGATTGGTATGTCATAAATAGTTCATTGCAGCATTGCACTGTATTCACTAAGTCCGAACGCACAGTTTCGCTAAAGCCGGCCATTCATAACCAGCCCACGAACCCATGTGTGATCGTGGTAGGAAAAGCTGCATTTCACTGCAGCTAAATTGAGACATTTGATTGGGCGCGCCAAGGAGCTGGCACCACCAATCATAAATGTGAAAAGTGGGAGCTCAACACAGATTAAAACAATGCCAGCATGTTGGCTTTGCTGATTCACCTTCTTATTCCAACAAATTCTTTGTAAGCAAGTGAATGAGTACGATGGAATGTTTAAATATTTATGCAAACTGTGTTTTAGTAAACTGACAAAACTGTCGAAACTGATAAAATATCGACTTGCCCGATTCGGTCTTTCTTGCAACACAGTCGAGGGACTGTGTTTGCAACAAATATGTAATTTTACTCAGATACAGCACTAAGCGCTTTCTTTTGATGATCAGTAAGCTTGTTTAGAGAAAAAGTTAACACATTTATTTGATTCCGCCATTTTAATTTTATCAAGTAATGTGCAGTTTCTTTCGTGATTTTTGATTGGGTGATGCAAATGAGCCGAAGTTAATCTTATAATTGTTTGAGGGCGTGCAACATACAGTAAATTGTGGTGAAACCTGCCAAGGGTTGAGGCTTCGGCCGAATAAATGGTTCTTGGCTGGCAAAGATGCAAATAGACATGCTCTCACAAGTCATTCTCCCCAAGTGATCACAAAAGTGGTAGTTGCATTTCAGTATTATGGTGAACAAAACTCAAACAATGGGCACTTTATTAGTTCATAGCCCAGTGATTTCTTAGGAGATAAGAAAACACACTAGAGATTGATGATGATGATGAGTGATTAAAGGTGTTAGCATTGTGCAAATAAATGTAGATATTTTATCAGTTCCCAGAATGCAGTTCATACCCACATCTCTGATGTACCTACCAATCAAGTTTAGTCATGGAAACAAACAAAAATTAAACATCACAAGAGAAGTTTACAAATGTTTGCAGCAATTTTTTCTACTTTTTTTCTCCATTTCAGGGTTAAATTCATCATTCTGCCACAGACTCATAAGCAGACATTTCAATTTTGAATCCAGATATATTTTAATAATTGACTTACCAGTATGTTGAAACTACATTTCTTTACAAGACACTCGTAAGTTGGTTTGAGAATTATTGCAAATACACATTTTAAAAATTTGTTGCAAATTCCCTGAAAATGTACATATACTGGAAAGTACAGGTAAGGTTTGCCCATTTTTAAAACTGGGAGGTGTGTGGCTAAAACATTGGTCTTCACGCAACTGAATAAAATATTTACAGTAAACCATATTACTTCACCCTCCCCCAGTTTGAAATGTGGGAACCTTAAATGGAAATGGAAGAGAATTCAGTGAAAAATTGTATTCAAATTTGTTAAAAGGATTGCAGTATAAATACCTGATTATATATGCATACGAGTTGAGAATAAATTTGGCACAGAGGAAATAGTATTTGTGAAAGGAGCTCAAAGCTCTGTCGTAATGCTGACCCAACTGTTATTCAAATGCTACATTGTATTCGATTCATAAGAGGTGCATCTCTATTAAAAGTACAAAACAAATTGTCATTTATATTGATGATGGCTCATTAAAATGCAACCTTTTTTTCTGACTTCACCTGCTCTTCACTCTTTCGCTCCTCAACCAGCATTCCACAGCAACTTGCACAGAGCCAATAGAAATACATGGTACAGTGGTGCACGTCTTGTCAGAATGTAATAAAATTTGTGACGTAACCTTGTGAATCCCAGAGAGTCAGTTTTGATTACAATTTTCTAAGCAATCAAACTCAAAGATATATAGCTATGTATTTTTCGGGTTTAACACATTGGAGGCCTCACATATTTACTCCATAGGTTTTTATGGTTGCCTATGGATTAAAAAACAGGATGAATCAGGGAGTCAAATTTCAGGCTTCCTTTCTTGGAATTTTTGTTATGCTCCTGTGGTACAGATAAAAATATCCCAAGCATTTCCATAATCGTATGCATTATGATAAAAATAATTAATAATATTAATTTTCCAAAAATATAGAATCATGTTAAGATATTAGTTGGGAAATCTGGCTATATGCATATATTTGGTGGAACTACGAGAAAGTCAACTAGGCTAGTGCTCCCATAGGATCCCATGCTGGTAGTACAATCGGTTCTTGGTCTAGCACAGCTAAGACTTCAGGTGCTAAATATTTCTTATCTATAGTGACTTCATACACAAACTCATCAAACCATTTATCAGTCATCATCAAGTAACCTACAAAAAAAAGAAAAGAAAAAGAATAGATTTAAAAGTGCCGTAAATATACAATGCTGCAAATATACAGAAGAAAACTATAGGATTATGGGATTTATTTTAGTTGTTACAAACTAATGGTGCTAACAACATGATTTAATATACATGTCACTTTGGTGACAGCCAACCCTTAGCATCAAATTATACATCACGTACAGTCAAAACTAAATAGCCAACATAAGTTGAGTTAGTCAATTAAAGTTGTCTTATTTGCTAAATTATTTGATAATTTTTTTTTAAATGTGTAGTAAAATCATAGTCAGCTGGTGTACAGTTTACTGATATTTACTATATGGGAGCAGCCATCATGAATACAAAGACAAGTTGAGAAACGGGGAAATTGTCATACCAACTCAGGAGCGAATCAGTGATGGCCTGAGAGTTGTATTACGATTTCTGTTTCAAAAACCCTGCAAAAGCTTTCTATGTTCTTTGTGTAATTAGGTGTTTGTTCATATGCAAACTATTTTTTCACACAGAAACGACGAGTGAATTTTGCTAGCAGTGGTCTTATTGTTGCCCAAACAGATCATTTGCCTGTGAATTTTTTTTCCTGATTTGAAGGAATCTGAAAAACTTGTTCCTCAACTTGTCTCTTTATTTAGTTTCAAAGCTGTATTCAAGATGGCTGCTCCCAAATAGAAAATATCGTTAAATGGATCACATTTATTTTATTAGCATGTATGCTAATGAGCCATGAGCCATGCACGATGCAACCTGAAATCCTGGCATGTGATTTTAAGTCTTGTTTCAGAACATGTCAACGGGAAGTACGAAATGTTCCATATTTCACGTTCACTTTGACACAGTTGCAATGGATGTTATGAATTCTCATAACATGTATAAAGTTAGAAGGAACAAGACATTGCTAATGACATAGTCCCAGTTGGGAATTTTATTAATGCCAAGAATAAATGGCTGGTCAGACATCTTTAATCCAATCACGCAATAAATCGCCGTAGACATGTATAATGTATGTACCAAATTTGAACAAAAACTGACAAAGCATGCATGAGATACCACATTCCTGAAAAACTAAATGGCTAGTCAAAATCTACAAACAAAATCCCATAATACTTTACCCAATACAACACATGCTGTCATTTATGTGGGTTATACTCGATGCCTTCCACAAAAAACACATACCTTTATCTCCTTTATCGTCTCCCCAGGAATTCTCCACTCTCCATTTACACATGACTTCCTCACCATCACTGCCATTCTGTGTAAAAATAACATCTCATCACTGTAGGATCATGTTCATTGACTATGCATTTTAGTGTGGTATAGCAAGATATGTGGTTACAGAGGCAAAGCACTTTGCCAAGGTCATCAGTTCAAATCAATTGTTGCCTGTATACACGTTTGTAATGTGCCTGTAATGTACATCATATATGCATTTGTACAACTTACAGGTTGGTGGTCACTGTGTCGTGTTCAATACAAGTCCCATAGCGATGTATACAACGTGTGTAAAATAAATTGTAATTCAGAAATGCGCTGCTCGCAGAACAGTGCCCTTTAAAAAACTGACAGAATAAAACCATCAGGTTTTTTTCTAAACCGGGGAACAGAGGCGCAGCGCCCTGATACTCTCGGCTGGCGCCCTCTTACCAAATTGCCGATTGAACTTTGAAGTCATAAATATATTTCTTTAGCCGTGCACTTCCGTACTGCCGTACAACATGAAATCTTTCTCAAATATATTTTTCTCCATGAAAACTTCCCAGCAACACCAGCTGACAATGTGTCTGGACACCAAATACACTAAAATTACTCCAAAAATATTTTAATGGCGATAGATGCACCGTTAAAATGGCACAGAAACCTTCTGATATGGAATCGCTCTGCTCCCTCGCCTGTGTGTGCTCCCTCTTGTTCATTTTTTTCTAGAAAAAGCCCTGCAACCATTGTATTGGAAGTGATTTGATTTCTACAAAGATCTCTACCACAGTTGACATTTAAGAAACACTAATAGTTTTCAAATTTAAATTCATTTCAAAATCGAATTCAACCACATATGGGTTATTGTAAATTTCCTTGACTACAACTACAGACTCTTAATTTATGCACCATGTTTTACAAGCAATTAACATAAATTACCTACCTCTGTTCCAACCCCTGTTATCAGCATAGCATGTGTCATCATTGATTCACAATATTCCAGTCGTTCTGCCTTTGTCATCGCAAACATTGGTACACCAAAAACTAATTCATAGTTATACCTACAAGTGGAATACAGTTACTACTAGTAAATATATGAACAAACAGTTTAATATACATGTAGAAATCTGTATAGAGTACAGTTAAATTGAAAATTGCCAAACACAATCGAATTTATTAAAAATCACAATTATTGTGGTTATGATTTTGCATTCAATAATATTAGCCTATAAAAGGCAGCCATACTGCATGATAATGATGATCTTTACCCATGACCAATTAAAATGTTTCAATTTTAGGAAATAAGCCATTTTCCTTCACTGCAAGAGCCTGTGTTATGCATGAAATTGAACATAAAACAGGTCATAGTAACTACCCATTTGATGATGGTCAAGTTTGCAAAAATAATTGTATCTCAATGCTACATTTCTTTCTGGAAGCTCTGCATTTTGACACTGAACTATTAAAAACAAAATTCAAGTTCAAAATCAAACGATTGTCATTCAATTTTTTCAGCAGACATTCAGTCCTCGCCTTTCATGCATTATGTGAGATCTTACTGACTTGCGCGTCAGTCAAGATGTACATAGCAGTGATCGTCATAGTTTCATTACCCACAATCCAATATGTACAAGTTCAGTAAACAATTAAAATGTCATAATTTTATTGTGTGTGAAAATAATTCAGAGCAACAGGCAGGACTGCCATTGAATACTTACAAGTCCATGTCATTAATGCCATGTTTCCAGCTGCAAGCCTTTCCGACATCACAACCAAACCAAACTGGCTAAAATACAAATGAAAACAAATCAGGTACAGTAGTTTGTCTACACTACTATCAAATCGGCAAATATTGCACATACGTTAACCCCTGTTTATCACCTTGGGAAATCCCACAGTTAAAAACATTTTTTTAAAAAGTAGGTGATATAACGTATATTTTACCTCATCATTCTTAATAGATTTCAATGCATATTCCTTCAATGTCTTCGACGGTTGGTTCACATACAAACATTTTTTGCCTCCATGCATATTATTCAGGTAATCCACAGTGTACAGTTTGCCATAGTGATGACCTGGTCTGGGGTCATTTACAATACACACCTATATTGATAAAAGTATGCAGAAAATCAGAGATTAGTTGTCATAGTGATGACCTGGTCTGGGGTCATTTACAATACACACCTATATTGATAAAAGTATGCAGAAAATCAGAGATTAGTTGTCATAGTGATGACCTGGTCTGGGATCGTTTACAATACACACCTATATTGAAAAAAATATGCAGAAAATCAGAGATTAGTTGTCATAGTAATCACCTGGTCTACATTAATTCACAACACAGACCTATAAATTACTAAGTCACAATTAAAGTGTCAATTTTTTCACGCGTTGCGCAACTGTGGTGCTTTAACCTTTAAGCTTTGAGTGCCATAATTGTTCTCTATGAAAACTGTAGGGCAATGTTTTGCACATCTTTATTAAGTTGGTTAATAAATACATGTATGAGAAAAATTAGGCAGGTTTATTTAGTTATGAAAGGTGATTTTTGGCCTTCTATTTAAAATATAGTTTCACATTTTAAACTTGTAAATTAAGCTTAGTTATTTACTTGATTTAATGCAGTTTTACAAGATGGAAATAAAAATGTCTGCCGTCTCAAGTCTTTAATTATCTTTGCTTTTTTGCAAAAAATGTTGTCAGGATTAACAGATTCAAAAGCATGCCTGCCAGACTGGCATTCTACTTAGTGCGTTTTTATTACATTTCCTCCATAAGTCAATAACTTACAAGTCATTTTCCAGATACAGAAAAAACAAACAATAACATTTGAGAGACAAAACACTATCAAGTCGACTATGTAAACGTACCTTATCTGAAATATTATAGACTGATTTGACATAGTTTTCGTAGAAATCTTTTGGTGACACTGGTCCAACTTTGCGGTAAGCTTTAGTTTTATCATGATATTCCCAAGTTATCATCTCTGGTGGTGACCCAAGGCAGATCACGATGATACGATAAATCTAATCAAAGAAATGAACATGGATTAAAATTATTAAATTTAAGCATTTATTAACACATCACCTGCGTTTTACCCATTCATTGGCAATGTGTTAACGGGTAACATTTTCTGCAAATTTTGTTCCTACATTTAACAGACAGTCGTCATAGTGATATACTGACCTTATCGGTAAACAAGGGATAATGTGTCATGAAACATGGGGTATATTTATGATAATCGCATGCAAACACCTGCAAGTATTTTGTTTAAAGGAACAATAATTGTCCAGCTGTTTAAATGCTGTTTGCATGTACATCCATTTTGATTTACATATCACATATATGAACAAATTCTAAATATTTACAAGTAACCTGTAGAATACTGTGTGGGTAATATTTTTTATATTGATTTTTGTTGCATTTGCAGCAAATAGTTACCAAACAATGAGAAATCTATAGGATTGAATATACCCCACAGCTGGCTTCACATGCATTGTTCATAGTTCATATGGTGCTTACACCAGGATTTAATTACAGCACCGAGGCGGTATGTGGTTACAGCTTAATGTTCCGAGTAATCGCAAGAAATTGACATGACAATAGAAATTCATTAAAGACTGGCACTCCCATGCAATTAACAGCCAGTGAAATTCCTGGGATTGAAACATATTTTGAAGTCACTGATGCCTAGGCAACGAATAACTGCAAGTTGACATAAAGACGAGGTAGTTTATTTAATCAGTGGTCAACTAGAGGCTGAAATTATAATTAATTTGTTTATTTCCTGACGTCAAATAGAATACACTGGTGAAACACGGTAGTAACTGTGGGTGAAAGGATGTTTTGGGGTGTAGTTTACATTGTATATGGAGTGGTAGGGTCGGGTGTAATGTGTTCATTTCCAACTATTATGAAGTCACATAGTATTTCACTTAATTTATTTTTGCTGACATATTTTCAAGCATTACATGTGAATCCAATTTTCACTGTGCTGTGTCTCAATAGAGTATGAGGGAAATGGCATATTCACTGGAATTTATTTCAGGGGATAAATGTTTTCAGTGATAATGAAGTATTATGACAGATACCCTCCCCGTGGCTTTCATTGCTTTCATTTCATTCATGGCTTTCACAGGGAGGGTGTGGGGTTCTGTTATTATACATATGTCCCATAATTGTTTATTTCATATTAAAATAAGAACGCGCAACAAACCGGTAAAGAAATTTAGGTCGGGGAACCGAATTGCCCATTAATATGCTCCAAGACAGTGCTGCGACATAGCAACGCTTGTCAGTGTAGAACGCGTGTCGCTGTACGTGTGAAAATAAAATAATCAGACATCTAATTTGAGTCATTGTCCGAATTTATAACTCGTGGATGTTTAAGCGCGGTGGTCGTAGCGTAGCGCGTGTTCGAATTTTATGTAAATAAACAATGTATTTTACACGCATTAAATACGTCGCTATGAGTCCCATATCGAAGAGAACGCGACACGATGACTGTCGCCCTTTAGTTGGGACCACGACAGAACCAGAACTTAAACTGGGCGACTACGATACACGGTTTATGTTGAAGTTAAAAGTTCCTCCACAGATATGTGCATTGGCAAACATGCCGTGCAACTGCGGTACTCCACTGACGGAATGACTTTCGTTGACATCGGTCGTCG